AGACTAAGTGTGGTGATCACTTTGTAAGGTATATAAATGTCAAATCACCATGTTGTACACCCAAAGCTAATATTATACGTCAACTACACTTTAATAAAAAAAAAAAAAAAAGGGGGGGGTGGCTGAGTAGCTCAGGTTGTTAGAGCGCAGGCTCATAACACCAAGGTTGCCGGTTCGATCCCCACATGGGCCAAGGACCTGCGCTCTCTACAACTAGATTGAAACAACTACTTGATTTGGAGATGATGGGTCCTTGAAAACACTGTTCTCCAAAAAAATTTCTTTAAAAAAACAAAAAAAAGGGAAAAGCCCTTTAGGCAGTTAAAGAAGGAAAAGAAACTAGTTCCAGACCAATCTGTAGGCTAACCAAGTGAAATACAGAGGGTGCCAAAAAAAAATGTGTACACATCTTAAGAAAGAAAAACTGTATTAAAATTTTAATACTCAATATATACTGATAACAAAAGATGAATACAAGTCATGTTTGAATTCTGCAATTACGAGAGGTGCTCAAAGTGGTTACCATCAACATCCAGACACTTCTGATTATAGCGAACTACTGCTTCAGCAACACTGACCAAAGTGTCCACGTGTATACATTCTTTGGCACCCCCGTTTGATATACAGAGGCAACAAATGGGTCAAAAGGCTGTGTACACCCCAGGCAATCTAAAAACAAGCCATTAAGATACAGAAAGAAAGAACTATAGCTCCACGTTACATGCACTTATCTTTAAAAGGAACATAAAGTCAGTTTTATTAATATCTACTGAGTGGACCTATACCAGCATCCTCTCCTGGTAGGTTTGTCATTTCTAGCATAAAAGTGATTTCTAGGAACTAATGATATCCACAATGGGGGGATGGGGTTGACAACAGAGGATGGAAGGGAAAATAAGTGAAGAGACAGGCTTTGTCATGGACTGGGGAACATAATGAACTCAGCTTTGCACTGAAGGTCCAGAACAGCAAATGACCTTAGCCCATATGGCTGAGGCCAAGTTTCACACTATGCATCCTTCAGAAAACAGATCCTGTAAGAAGCACCACTGAAGAAAGGGACAGTAGTCAAAGTCTGGGGAAAGCGCTGGAGATTCTCTATGTCAATGGTTCTCAAACTTTTTATTCTCTTTTCCACTCTTAAAGATTACTGATGACCCCCAAATGTGGGTTAAATCTATTGATATTTATCGTGTTACAAATGAAAGCTGAGAAAGTATAAAAACAAGTGCTGAACAACTCATTTCAAAATAATAATAGTCAACATATGGTGCAGGGAAAACGATATCTACATGCAAAAGAATCAAGTTGGACTCTTAACTAACATCATATACAAAAATTAGCTCCAAGTGGATCAATGACCTAAATTAAGACCTAAAACTACCAAACTCTTTGAAGAAAACAGGGCAAAAGCTTCATGACATCGGATCTGGCAATGATCACTTAAATATGACACCAAAGGCACAGACAACAAAAGAAAAAAAAACAGACAAACCGGATTTCATGAAAAATTTTAAATTTTGAACATCAGAAGACAGTTTAAACAAAGTAAAAATGCAACCCACAGAATGGGAGAAAATATTTGCAAATCCTATATCCAGTAAGGGATTAACCTCCAGAATACAGAGAGACCTAAAACTCAACAAAAAACACGATTCAAAAGTGGGCAAAGGATTTGAAGAGACTATCTCCAAAGAAGAGGTACAGATGGTCAAAAGCATGCAGAAAAGATGCTCCACATCACTAACCATCAGAGAAGTATAAAAACTACGACACTACTTCACACACATCAGGATGGCAACTGTCAAGAATAGTAAATAAGTAAGTTACATAAGCCTTGGTGAGGATGCGGAGAAAATGGAACCTTGTGTACTGTTGGTAGAAATGCAAAATGGTACAACCATTGTGGAAGGTAGTATAGAGTTCCTCAAAAAATTACCATATGATCCAGCAATTCCACTTCTGGATGTGGATCCAAAAAAACTTAAAAGTAGGGACTTAGATACTTATATACTCATGTTCGTAGTGGAATTATTTACAATAGCTAAGATGTCGAAGTCACCCGAGTGTCCACCAAGAGGTGAATAGAGAAACCTAATGTGGAATTACCCACACAATGGAATATTATATTCAGCCTTAAAAAGAAAGAAAATTCTGGCATGTGCTACAACATGGATGGACCTTGAGTACGTTATGCTTAGTGAAATAATTCAGTCACAAAAAGACAAATACCGTGATTCCGCTCATATGAGATACCTCATATGAGATTCCGCTCATATGAGTCAAAATCAGGAGTGGTGGAAAGTGGAATGGTGGGTGCCAGGAGCTGGGGGAGGGCAGGAAGGGAGTTTAATGGGGCCAGAGTTTCAGTTTTACAAGATGAGAAGAGTTTTGAAGATGGATGATGATGGTGATGACTGTGCAACATCATGAATGTATTTAATGCCACTGAAATATACTTTAAAATGGTTAAGATGGTGAAATGCTATGTGCATTTTACCACAATAAAACAATTAAAAAATAAATAAGCCCACTACATGTTATTACAAATAACATTTTTATGAAATTATCTTATGTCCTTCTGTATTCAATCTGTTGTGCTATCACATATCTGTAGCATCCGGAAAAATTCTATTATGCTTTATGCTCATGAGAGAAAATGGAAAAAGCAATTAATGTCTTAATATTACAAAAATAGTTTTGACTTTACAGACACTCTCCAGATGGTCTCAGAAAACCTCCAGAGGTCCCCATGCCTACTCCAAGACTGCTGCTCTACTTCGGATGAACACGTAAAGCCACGCTTAACTTTGCCTAAAGCTTAGACCTCACAAGTTATTTGATGACTCCTACAAGCCTATTAGCCTACAAAGCAGCTACGGGAGGGGAAGGGAAGAAAGAGGCTGCCGGAAGACACCCAGTGAGTCTGCCCCTGAAAGAAAGGAGCCTACCATCCCTCGCCCCTGCATGGGGGAGGAAAAAAATCAGAAATGGAGGAAGAGTGGGAAGTTAATGAGTGTGTGTGCCTGAAAACTACAAAGCCAGAATTCCCATTCTGTATTCGGAAAACGTTAACACCTTGATGGAAAACACAGTAAATACAGCCAAAGGAGGTACAGGGCGCGGGACTGTGCTCACAGTGAGCGCCCCCAGCCACAGGCCCAGCCAGCACTGCTACACAGCAGCACTCAGTGATGCCTGCGGGGCTGGTGTGAGGGCCTGAACACTCCTATCATCTGCAACTGCACAGTTGGGTGGAGACGAAACACTGGAGAAATGGGGTTTCTGGTGTTTTAACAGATACTAATGTGGGTTAAAAATTACATTATTTCAAAGTTGAAAGAATTCATTTTCTTCAAACTTTACTTTCCTAAGTAATTTGATGTGGTA